ATTCAATATTCTTTGCCAACACCACAATTAAAAAGCATCAATTCTTCTTCCGTCTTCCTTATTCATTGTCCAGCTTTCCCATGCATATGAGGCCTCTGAAAACACCATGGCTTGGGTTAGGCGCGCCTTAGTCTTCAAGATGACATCTTTGCTTTTCAACACTTTAAAGCAGTCTTTTGCAGCAGATTTGCCCAATGTAGTGCATCTTTTGATTTCCTGACTGCTGCTTCCATAGATGTTGACTGTGGATTCAAGAAAAATGAAATCCTTGACAACTTCAATGTTTTCTCTGTTTATCATGATGTTGCTTATTGGTCCAATTGTGAGGATTTTTGGTTTCCTTACGTTGAGGTATAATCCAAACTGAAGGCTGTGGTCTTTGATCTTCATCAGTAAGTGCTTCAAGACCTCTTCACTTACAGAAAGCAAGGTTGTGTCATCTGCATAATGCAGGTTGTTAATGAGTCTTCCTCCAATCCTGATGCCACATTCTTCTCCAAATAGTCCAGCTTCTCTGATTTATTTGCTCAGCATACAGATTGAATAGGTATGGTGAAAGGATACAACCCTGACACGTACCTTTCCTGACTTTAAACCACACAGTATCCCCTTGATCTGTTCGAACGACTGCCTTTTGATCTATGTACAGGTTCCTCATGAACACAATTAAGTGTTCTGGAATTCCGATTCTTCACAATGTTATCCATAATTTGTCATGATCCACACAGTCGAATGCCTTTGCATAGTAAATAAAACACAAGTAAACATCTGTCATGGATTGAACTGTGTCCCCCCAAAATATGTGTCAACTTTGTTAGGCCACGAGTCCCAGTATTGTGTGGTTGTTCCTCCATTTTGTGATTGATACAATTTTCCTATGCACTGTAAATCCTAATCTCTGCCTGTGGTTAATGAGGCAAGATTAGATTATGTTAAAGAGGATTAGGGTAGGATGAAACACCTTCTTCGCTCAGGTTACATCCCTGATCCAATGTAAAGGGAGCTTCCCTGGGGTGTGGCCCGCACCACCTTTTATCTTACAATAGATAAAAGGAAGGGGAAGCAAGCAGAGAGTTGGGGACCTCACACCACCAAGAAAGCAGCGCTGGGAACAAAGCGCATCCTTTGGACCCGGGGTTCCTGTGCAGAGAAGCTCCTAGTCCAGGGGAAGATTGATGAGAAGGACCTTCCTCCAGAGCCAACAGAGACAGAAAGCCTTCCCCTGGAGCTGACTCCCTGAATTTGGACTTCTAGCCTACCAGACTGTGAGAAAATGAATTTCTCTTTGTTAAAGCCATCCACTTGTGGTATTTCTGTTATAGCAGCACTAGATAACTAAGACAACATCTTTCGAGTATTCTCTGTTTTCAGCCAGGATCCATCTGACATCAGCAACAATATCCCTGGTTCCACATCCTCTTCTGAATCTGGCTTGAATTGCTGGCAGTTCCCTGTCAATATAATGCTGCAGCTGCTTTTGAATGATCTTCAGCAAAATTTCATTTGCGTATGATATTAATGACACTGTTCGATAATTTCTGCATTTAGTTGGATCACCTTCCTTGGGAACAGGCACAAATATGGATCTCTTCTGGTCGATTGGCCAGGCAGCTGTCTTCCAAATTTCTTAGCAGAGACAAGTGAGCACTTCCAGCCATGCACGCATTTGTTGAAACATCTCGATTGGTATTCGGTCAATTCCTGGAGGCTTGTTTTTCATCAATGCCTTCAGTGCAGCTTGGACTTCTTCCTTCAGTACCATTGGTTCTTGATCATATGCTACCTCCTGAAGTGGCTGAACATCGATCAATTCTTTTTGGTATAGTGACTCTGTGTACTCCTTCCATCTTCTTTTGATGCTTCCTGCATCATTTAGTATTTTCCCTGTAAAATCCTTCAATATTGCAACTCAAGGATTGAATTTTTTCTTCAGCTCTTTCAGCTGGAGAAATGCCGAGCATGTTCTTCCCTTTTGGTTTTCTATATCCAGCTCTTTGCACATGTCATTATAATACTTTACTTTGTCTTCTCGAGCTGCCTTTGAAATCTTCTGTTCGGCTCTTTTACTTCATCATTTCTTCCTTTTGCTTTAGCTACTCGATGTTCAAGAGCAAGTTTCAGAGTCTCTTCTGACATCCATTTTGCACTTTTCTTTCTTTCCTGTCTTTTTAATGACTCTTGCTTTCTTCATGTATGATGTCCTTGATGTCATTCCACAACTCATCTATTCTTCGGTCATTAGTTTTCAATGTATCAAATCTATTCTTGAGATGGTCTCTAAATTCAGGTGAGATATACTCAAGGTCATACTTTGGCTCTCGTGGGCCTGTTCTAATTTTCTTCAGTTTCAACTTGAACTTGCATATGAGCAATTGATGGTCTGTTCTGCAGCTGGCCCCTGGCCTTGCTCTGACTGATGATACTGAGCTTTTCCATCGTCTCTTTCCACAGATGTAGTTGATTTGATTCCTGTGTATTCCATCTGGCGAGATCCATGTGTATAGTTGCCATTTATGTTGGTGAAAAAAGGTATTTGCAATGAAGAATTCATTGGTCTTGCAAAATTCTATCATGCAATCTCCAGCATACTTTCTATCACCAAGGCCATACTTTCCAAGTACCAATCCTTCTTCGTTTCCAGCACTAACGACGGAAGACCAGACGAGTTGTGGGATGACATTAAGGACATCATACATGAAAAAAGCAGAAGGTCATTAAAAAGACAGGAAAGAAAGAAAAGACCAAAACGGATGTCAGAAGAGACTCTGAAACTTGCTCTCCAAGGTAGAGTAGCTAAAGCAAATGGAAGAAATGATGAAGTGAAAGAGCTAAACAGAAGATTTCAAAGGGCAGCTCGAGAAGATGAAGTAAAGTATTATAATGAAATGTGCAAAGACCTGGAGTTAGAAAACCAAAATGGAAGAATATGCTTGTTATTTCTCAAGCTGAAAGAACTAAAGAAAAATTTCAAGCCTTGAGTAGCAATACTAAAGGATTCTATGGGCAAAACATTGAACGACACAGGAAGCATCAAAAGACGATAGAAGAAATACACAGAGTCACTGTACTCAAAAGACTTGGTCGACGTTCAACCATTTCAAGAGGTAGCATATGACCAAGAACCAACTGTACTAACGGAAGAAGTCCAAGCTGCACTGACAGCATTGCGAAAAACATGGCTCCAGGAATTGAAGAAATACCAATTCAGATGTTTCAACAAACAGATGCAATGCTGGAAGCGCTCACTCACCTATGCCAAGAAATCTGGAAGACAGCTACGTGGCCAACTGACTTGAAGAGATTCATATCTGTGCGCATTCCAAAGAAATGTGATACAACTGAATGCAGAAAATACTGAACAATATCACTAATAGCACGTGCAAGTAAAATTTTCCTGAAGATATTTCAAAAGTGGTTGCAGCAGTACATCAACAGGGAACTGCCAGAAATTTAAGCTGCATTCAGAAGAGGACGTGGAACGAGGGGTATCATTGCTGATGTGAGATGGATCTTGGCTGAAAGCAGAGAATACCGAAAGATGTTTACCTGTGTTTTATTGACTATGTAAAGGCATTCAACTGTGTGGATCATAACAAATTATGGATAACACTGTGAAGAATCGGAATTCCAGAACACTTAATTGTGCTCATGGGGAACCTGTACATAGATCAAGACGCAGCTGTTCGAACAGAACAAGGGGATACTGGGTGGTTTAAAACCAGGAAAGGTGTGTGTCAGGGTTGTTTCCTTTCACCATACTTATTCAATCTGTATGCTGAGCAACTAATCAAAGAAACTGGACTATATGAAGAAGAAGGTGGCATCAGGATTGGAGGAAGACTCATCAACAACCTGCATTATGCAGATGACACAACCTTGCTTGTTGAAAGTGAAGAGGACTTGAAGCATTTACTGATGAAGATCAAAGACTACAGCCTTCAGTACGGATTACACCTCAACATAAAGAAACCAAAAATCTTCACAACTGGACCAATAAGCAACATCATGATAAATGGAGAAAAGACTCATGTTGTCAAGGATTTCACTTTACTTAGATCCACAATCAACGCCCATGGAGGCAGTATTCAAGAAATCAAATGAAATCTGCACTGGGCAAATTTGCTGCAAAAGACCTTTTAAAAGTGTTAAAAAGCAAAGATGTCACCTTGAGGACTGAGGTGCACGTGACTCAAGCTATGGTATCTTCAATGGCCTCATATGCATGTGAAAGCTGGATGATGAATAAGGAAGACTAAAGAAGAATTCATGCATTTCAATTGTGGTGTTGGCAAAGAATATTGAATATATTCTCGGACTATATGGACTGCCAGAAGGACAATCTGTCTTGGAAGAAGTACAGCCAGAATGCTCCTTAGAAGCGAGGATGGTGAGACTTCGTTTCACATACTTTGGACATGTTATCAGGAGGGACCAGTCCCTGGAGAAGGACATTATGCTTGGTAGAGGGTCAGAGAAAAAGAGGAAGACTCTCAATGAGATGGGTTGTCACTGTGGCTGCAACAATGGGCTTTAACATAGCATGGACTGTGAGGATGGTGCACGACCGGGCAACATTTCATTCTGTTGTACACAGGGTCGCTATGAGTCGGAACCGATTTGACGGCACCTAACAAGAACAACAACAGTAAAATGCATGAATATTCCACATCAAGTGGGATTAACAAAGACTTTAAATGGCTTCACATGAGTTTAAGTGAAGGTTTAGTTCTTAAATGAGTTCAAGTCAGATGAGGATTTGTGGCCAAAAATCTTTGTTTTCAGGCCTTTTTAGATTTTAGAACTGTGAAAAAGTGGCTGAGAATTTGTACTAACATCAACGTAGAAGAACTTAAGCAAGACAAAATTATTGTCAAGGTTAAATTAAGTAAGAAACAAAGTACATGTAGGTCTCTGGAATTTTACCTCTCATGAGCTTTGGTAGAAAAATAGTATCTTCAAGGCCACCAGGTAAATCCAAGGAGGTAAAAGTTGATTCTTACCAGAAATGTGGAGTCCATTTCTGCTGTCATCAACACTATCCCCTTTTCTTCCTTAAGTTCAGGGTAGTGGTATAAAATCAGCTGGCTGGCTGCAGCTTCCCCTCGGGTCTGCAAGGAGGAACACATACCAAGGCTCAATAAGGCAGCACCACAACAAACTGCAATTTCAGAGCAACAGAGAGTCCAGAGGAAATTCTGGCTCTTAACAGCCCCTTTGGTGGCTAGTGAGTCAGAGGACTGGTATGTGGAAGGAAAGTCATGCCTGCCAAGGTATTATTTGTGTCTTCAATTGGAACAGGTTTGGCTTTCTTCCCAGAAAATGTTTAAAGTAGGTAGTGAATCCTTCATTGTGGCCATACATTTAAAAACAAAACTACACAAGCAGCTACCACATCAAGTTCTAAAGAAAGCACTGGGCCTGTGTAATTGCCACTTTTATGGACTAGTGCACTTCACAGCTGAAATCCACTCCACTTGACTGGCTCTAAAGACTGAGCTTTTGTAAGCTGTAGCATACAGCTTAAGAGCTGCACATGGGCCAGATTTGTAATAGGCAGTTTTAAAATACAATCTTGGGAGGGGGGAGGTGGAGAATCAGAGATAATAATTTCATAAAGAATGGACATGTTACTAGACCTCGAGTCTAAACTAGAGAGAGAGTTTGGTGTCAGATGCCTAGGTTCAAAGATAAAGCCCTCACAGTGTAGGAAGAAACAACTACACATTCAAAAAAAGTTCCCTGGGCTTCATTTCTAAAATTTCAGCAAGAATTCCTTTAATTATCAATACCTAACTATAGCTACGGTATTCTTAATATTTCAACTTCTCAGTTCTCCCAAGCATACTTCTAAAATTTTACTGATCATTCTGATCATAATTATGTTTCTGGATCTTTCTCCTGTGTTTGTGTACATGCTACATGAGCGCAGGGACCTTGTCTATAGATCTACAGGCCCTAGCAGAGTTCCTAACACAACAGCATAATTATCAAGTCCCTAGAGTTTGGAGTCAGATAACCTGGGCTCAAACCCAGCTCTAGCACTTATTAGCAGCATGAACTAACTTCTCCAAGTCAACTTCCTTCTCTGTAAATAGAAATAATAACATAAACTATCTCATAGGACATTTGTGATGATTAAATGACATATATAAAACATCTGGCATGCAATTATAATAAGTACGTCAAACGTTTGTTATTATAGTATGTGCTCAATAAATGATTGTTAAATAAATTATAAAATAATGAAGTGAAAAGCTGTCCCCTCATTCTGTTTTGCACTCTCTTTCCCCCAACTTCAATACCATTATATATGGTTGCTTTCACCATATTTGGCCCCAATATAGAATGCTAATTCTAGTCATGATCTGATTTTGAATAATGACTTCTATTTTAAAAGCTTCGAATATTTTGGATCAAACGTCTTCTTTTTTAAAAATATTTTACTGTATTGTTTGGTGAAAAGATCTAACTTCTTAAACTAGTATTTGGAATTAAAAAAAAAAGAGAGAAGGAAGGATGCAAATACAACACCACCTATGGAATGTAAACTATGCACTTGGCACCTTGAAAGGTGTTGACTTGTTAATAAAACAAGTAAGACACGGAGCCTTCCTTAAGGGGCTTATAGCTTGGGTTAAAAAAGATAACCACCACAACTCTCCCATGTTTGTTAAGTGAGGCACATGCAGTAAGTGCTACAGATGTCTGGGGAGAAACACCCAGAAGTAATCAGAGAAGGTGATTTTGGGTCTTTTCCAATTTCTAGGTATTGAGCAGGAAACTAGAAACCTAGAAGCCCAACACACAGAATATGCCAATTCATCAGTGCCACAACAAGTTCGGCTGGAGTGGGTAGATATTCTGTGCCCCGAAATCTCATCAAGGGCTTCCTCTAGGGGAAGAGCACAAGCTACCTACCTGAATATTTATAAGTGCAGTGAAGTGGAGTTCGGTACCTGTCCATTGTCCTACAAAGAACTCATAACCTTCCCTTCTTGGTAGTGCACACAGAAACTGTGGGAAAGAGATACACAATGAGAGAGATGAATAACTGACGTCACTTGCTCTACGCCCAATCACCTGTATCATTCCCTCCATTTCTTCAACGTTTGGTTTTAAAAATATTTTTTTAAATCGTGAAATTCATAAGTGATAATCTAACAAACACTCATTACTTCCTACAACCCACCCAAAAAAGCATTAGAGATACAACTTCCTCTGGTGTCTGTCATTCTCATTCATGTTTTTATACTTTAATCTATATGTGTATACCCATAAACAAGAAATACTTCTGTCTGAACATTTAAAAATGAAATAAATATTATCAAAATGTATATATCCTTTTGCAACTTACTTTTTCACTTCACATTATGCTTTTGATATTTATCCATGTTGATAAATTTAACTCTAATTCATTCATTCTCACTGTCTGGAATTCTATTGTAGAAACTTACCACAATTTATTTATCTATTGATGTTCATCATCTCTCGAGGAACATTTGCATCTTTTCCAGTTTCTAAACTTTCTAATGCCGCTGAGTTAACTTTTGTTCCAATTATTTTAATCACTTCATATATTCTATCAGCTGAGGCTGACACTGGAGCATGGCTCTAGACTAAACACCAAGCAATGATTAGTTTTATGCCTGAGATGTTTAGAATTGGGGATGAGTGGTGAAGATAATGGTGCCAGAACAAAATGAAGTATAATCAGTTTAATGTATGTTAGTCATGAAATTGTCTTCTTATTGCCAAACACACAGGCTCCATTTTTTTTTTAAACATTTTATTGTGCTTTAGGTAAAAGTTTACGTAGCAAATTAGTTTCCCATTCAACAATTCATACGCAAATTGTTCTGTGACACTGATTGCTGTTCTCTGCACTGTGTCAGCACTCTCCTCATTTCCACCTTGGCTTCCCTGTTTCCATCCCTTCAGTTTTCCTGCCCCTCTTTGCTTTCTCATCTTTGCTTTTGGGCAAATGTTGCTCATTTGGTCTCATATAGTTGATTGTTTTAAGGAGCACAATCCTCAAGGGTGTTACTGTTTATTTTATAGGCCAGTCTGTTATTTGGCTGAAAGGTGACCTCTGGGAGTGGCTTCAGTTCCAGGTTAAAAGGGTGTCTTCGGGCAACAGTCTTGGGGGTTCCTCTAGTCTCTGCAAGTCCAGTAAATCTGGTCCTTTTTATGAATTTGAGTTTTGTTCTACATTTGTCTCCCATTCTAACTGGGACTGTCTAATGTGTCCCTGGTCAGAGTGGTCAGTAGTGGTAGCTGGGCACCATCTAGTTCTGGTTTCAGGCTAGAGGAGACTGTGGTTCGTGTGGGCCATTAGTCTTTTGGACTAATGGCTTCAGTCTTTGGTTTCCTTCACTCTCCTTTCTCTGAATGGGACAAGATGGGAATAGACCAACAGCGGGGAGGAGAGGGCAGGAGAGGAAAGCATCAGGGCAGGGGACATGCTTCAGGTTGTCAGTAACCCTGATGATCCAACCCAAATACTTCTTGCTGTATCCTAACCTCATTCCCTGCCCCCCTTTTTAAATTGTGCATTTTGGCAAAAGTTTACAGAGCAAATTAGATTCCCATTCGATAGTCTGTACATAAAACATGTCCTTGGTTTCATTCCCCACAATGTGTCAGCACTCTCCCCATTTCCACCCTGGGTTCCCCGTTTCCTTTCGTCCTGATTTTCTACCCCTTCCTGCCTTCTCATCTTTGCTTTTGGGCAAATATTGCCCTTTTGATCTTGTATAATTGATTGCTTCTAAGGGGCATGTTCCTCTCGGGTGTTACTGTTTATTTTATGGGCTTGTCTATTGTTTGGCTGGAAGGTGGTCTCTGGGAATGGCTTCCGTTCCAGTAAAGAAGGGTGTCTTAGGGCCATAGCCCTGGGGGTTCCTCCACTCTCTGTCAGACCAGTAAGTCAGGTCTTTTGTGAATTTGACTTTTTCTTCTACATTTTTCTCCCTCTCTGTCCAGGACACTCTGTTGTGATGCCAGTCAGAACAATCAGTGGTGGTAGCCAGACACCATCTAGTTCTTCTGGTCTTGGAGTCGTATAGGCTGTGGTTCACATAGTCCATTAGTCCTCTGGACGAATTGCTCCCTTGAGTCCTTGGTTTTCTTCACTCTTCTTTCTCTGAATGGGACAAGACCACTAGTTGTATCTTAGATGGCTGCTCGTAAGCTTTTAAAGACCCCAGACACTACTTGTCCCATCAGGATGTAGAACATGATCTTTATGCATTACGTTATACCAATTGACCTAGATGTCCCCTGAGACTATGGTCCTTAGCCTTCAAACCCAGTAACTCAGTCCCACAAGGCATTTGGATATGTCAAAGAAGTTTCCACAGCTGTACACAGGCTCCATTTTTAATATTATAAGATGAGATAACCTCAGTGCCTATCTAATAACTGACACCTTGCTAGGGGAAAAAATTTTTTTTAGAACTTTACTGAGGTATACTTGAAGTACAATAAATTGCACATACTAAAAGTGTACAATTTGATACGTTTTGACATGTATACTGTGAAACCATCACTGCTGCTGTTGTTATGTGCCGTTGAGTTGGTTCCAACTCATAGCGACCCTACTCACAACAGAACAAAACACTGCTCGGTACTGCGCCATCCTGACTACATCAACATAAGAAACATAGCTATCCTCTCCAAAAGTTTTCTTGTACCCCTTTGTAATTCATCCTTCCCTCCCACCAGCCCTCCCCAGGCAACTACTGATTTGCTTTCTATCACCATAAATCAGTCTGTATTTTCTAGAATTTTGTATAAATGGAACCACAGAATATATACTATTTTTAGGTCTGGTTTCTCTCACTCAGCATAATTATTTTGTAATTCATTCATGTTGTTGCCTTATCAATAGTTCATTCCTTTTTTATTGCTGAATATCATTCCATTGTATATGTGTGTGTGTGTATATGTGTGTGTATGCACATACACCACAATTTCTTTACACTGACATTTGGACTGTTTCCAGTATTTGGTTATTACAAATAAAGCTGCTATAAACATTTGCATACAAGTGGTTTTATGGACATATGTTTTCATTTGTCTTAGGAAAATACCTAAGATGAAATGGCTAGGGAGTATGGTAGGTATATACTTAACTTTTAAAGAAAATGACAAACTGTTTTCTAAACCAATCATACCATTTTACGTTGTTACCAGCAGTGCTGGAGACTTTCAGTTGCTCCACATCCTCAGCAACACTCAGTATGGCTAGTCTTTTTAATTTTAGCCAATATAGTGGCAGTGTACCCCACTGCTGTTGAGTCGACTCATTGTGACCCTAAAGGACAGAGTAGAACTTCTCTGTAGGGTTTCTAAGGCTGTAAATCTAAAGGGAAGCAGACTGCCTCATCTCTCTCCTGTGGAGTGGCTGCTGGGTTTGAACGGCTGACCTTTCAGTTAGCAGCTGAGCGCTTAACCACTGCGCTACCAGGGCTCCTTAGTAGCAGTGTAGGAATATCTTAAGGAGCCCTGGTGTCACAAAGGTTAAGCACTCAGCTGCTAACCAAAAGGTTGGCAGTTTGAACCCACCCAGCAATTCGGCAGGAGAAAGACCTGGAGATGTGTTCCCGTAAAGATTATAGCCTAGAAAACCCTATGGGGCAGTTCTACTCTGTCCCATGGGGTTGCTATGAGTTGAAATCGACTTGACAGACTCTAACAACAACAGGGGTATCTTAGTGTGGTTTTAATTTGTATTTCCCTTATAACTAATGATGTTGACTATCTTTTCATGTGCTCATCTGCCATCCTACTTCTTTGGTGAAATGTCTGTTTAAATATTTTGCCCATTTTTAAACTAAGCTATCTGTCTCATTATTGAGGTATAAGAGTTCTTTGTGTAATTCTAGCTATAAGTCCTTTGTCAGTAAGTTTTGCAAATATTTTCTTCAGTCTGTGGCTTGTCTTTTTATTTGTATAACAATGTCTTTTGAAAAGCAGAAATCTTTTAATTTTGTTGAAGTCCAACCTTTTTTCTTTTATAGTATGCGCTTTTTGTGATGTATTTAAGAAACCTCTGCAAAACCCAAGATCACAAAGGTTTCCTCTTTTGTTTCTTCTAGAAGTTACATTCAGGTCTATGATCTATTTTGACTTAATTTTTGTACAGGCTGTCCCCAACTTCACAATGTACTCGAGTTACACCAAACAGCACTTAATACCATCTTTTTTTTTTTTGGGTACATCTTATTGGTAATATGTACTACATACAATGTTGTGGCATATAATTTGCTGTTATCATTCTCAGATGTTCACTTGCAGATGTTCAGTTTTATGATTTACTGTGCAAAACAAGGCCGTATAGCAGAGGAAAGAAATCATGAAGAAAGAAATAACGAGGAAGAGGAAGGAAACAAGTTGTCAAAAAAATTTACAGTGAGAAGATTAGCTAAAGTTTTTTCTAAACTAAATCAGGGGCTTCAGTTGCTTGAAAACATGGACCCAAACACTGATTGTTTTACTAAAGCTGACAGGCAGATTTGGGAAATGGTGAGATGTTACTGCAAAATATATGAAGAAAAAAAGAAAAGGACCACACAGACAACTGTTACTAATTTTCAGACTAGAAATGCCATCCGCACTCCCAGGGATAACCCAGATGATCCAGAGCCTTCCACAAGTGGAGTTATTACCACAACTGACAAAATGCCAACTTGTCCAACTCTTCTTCATTGTCGGAATTTTTATGATTTATGTATTTATGCATTAAAATTTACTTGTAAGCTTATATGTAATGTTTCCAACCCCTAAAGACAAATAAAGATCAGATTTATAAAGATAATGATAATAAAAGGCAATAATAATGAAAACTAAAAATAAAACAAAAACAGGTATTTGACTTACATCAGAACCAACTTAGGACAAAGTAGTTGGACCGGAACCCCACTGTAAGTCGGGGACTACCTGTATACAGTGTGGGTAAGAGTAAAAAACCAGTTGCTGTCGAGTTGATTTTGACTCATGATGATCTCGTGTGTCAGAGTAGAACTGTCCTCCATAGGGTTTTCAGTGACTGATTTTTTGGAAGTAGATCACCAGGCATTTCTTCTGAAATACCTCTGGGTAAACTTGAAATGTAACAGAACGCATTAATCATTTGCACCACCCAGGGACTCTGAGGTAAGAGTAGAGATTTATTTATTTTTTTTGGCATATGGATATTCAATTGTTTTAGCACCATATGTTGAAAAGATTACCTTTTCCTCATTTAATTACCCTGGCACCTTATCAGAAAACAACTACCACATATATGTTGATCTATATCTGGATTCTCTACTCTGTTCTATTGATCTATGTGTCTATCTTTAGGCTAATACCACATTATCTTCATTACTGTGGCTTTATAATAAGTCTTGAGATCAGATAATGTAAGTCTTCTAGGTTTGTTCTTTTTCAAAATTGTTTTGGCTATTTTAGGTCCTTTGAGTTTCCAAATAAATTTCTAGCATCAGTCACTCAATTCCTAAAAAACTAACAAAAGAAAGTCTATGGGGATTTTGATTTTGATTGTATTTAAGCTAGAGATCAACTTGGGGAGGACTACTAACATCTTAACAGTACTGAATCTTCGAATTCATGAACACTGTACATCTCTCCACTTATTTAGGTTTTATTTTCTCTCAGCCACATTTGGAAATTTTTTGAGAACCCTAGACATCATACTGACACCACATCAGCTGGTCCACCTATTCCCTTTCCTTTAGGCCTTCTGGTAGCTCATTATCCCAGCAACAACCTCATAATTGCTTTTAGGCACACATACCAGGATTGTATGGCCAACACTGCAAATGAAACTGCCAGTAAACAGGAACTTCAAGGATAGAAAGTTTAAGGTCTCAGGTACGTTCCAATATGCATTTGCACTGACAGATTAAGATCCAGATCGGAAAGGGCTGAGATGTGGCACAGAGTTAAATAGCCAGAGATGTACTGGGTCAAACCCGTATGATTTCATGAGGCTGAAAGTCTCACTGATCAGTATAATTGACATGTGAGCATCTTTGTCAAATAAACAGAGCACTATAACATGTAAGATAGCATGGAGCACAATGGGATTGGTTAGGAAACACCCTTGTTTGACAGCATTGATAAGTAATCCTAATATGGTCACTGGACACTTACTGTTGGACAGGACTGAGCCCGGTTCCAGATCAAATCAAACTTCTCTTCCTGTAGGTTGGAAAAGAATAAAATTAACTTACAAACAAAAAAACCCCAAAAGGTCACAACTACATTTAAATTCATCAAGACCGAATTCCAGAACTAAAATACATCTAAAACCATCTCTTAAATTCCATAATTTATGAATCCCTCTTATGAGAGAGAGGAAAAACCAGATATACACTTTGCCATTCAGTGTCAGAATTATGTGTGAAGAGTGGATGCTCCATATGCTCCAAACTCTCCAGGGGATTCTGACAAGTGTCAGTGACATCAGGTCAGTAAGCCAGGCCTGAGAAGGCCTGCTCAAATACTGAGTCAGTATCAGAGATCTAAAACATCATGAAAAGAGCAACCCCTTTTGGCTGTTGAACTCATGAAGGGCAAAGGTATGTATGTGTAAGAGGGAGAAAAAGACATAACAATATCCTACAACAACCAAAGAGCCTGGCTTTACTCTTTCATTTATAACGTTTCCTCCTTAATCTTAAACTTACACATGTAAGCCTAGTATATATTTGTGTGCTTGATATAAACATAACTTAAGCTACTTCTTCAGGGAAGAAGATGATCTAGCTGACAACACAATACTTCAAACGCTGTCTTATGGTGGAGGTCAGCAGAGGGACACCAAACCAGAGAAAGGCAGCAGCACTCCTTTCCAGTCACAGATCTCAATGGTCAAGCAGTGGCCAGTGACTATTTCTAAGATAGTAATTTCAGAAAGAGAAAAACCAAGAAAATGCCACTTGCTCAGGGAAAATGCCAGAAAAGCGTAGGAGGAGGCTCCAAGTCAGCTCAGGCATAGGTCACTTACATACTAGAAGGGAAGAAAGCTATGCTAGAGGCCCTATCTTTTGGAAAACACCAAAAAGAAGTAAAAGGCATTTGGAAATTGCTTGGCAACATGAACTTACACTATGGTCCCTTGTCGGAGACTTGACTCAAAGAGACATTTCCAAACCAGAAAGAGGGAAAACAAGAGCCATAAATACACCATATGGAGCTTCCAATCTTTGGTGCTCAGGGCATAATAAAAACCCTCAGAGCTGTAATATACAAGTTCTCAAGAGGAAATAAACATAGGAAAAGTAAAGGCAACTGCCTAAGGTTACAGCAGTGACCTTCCTATTATAACACTTTCATTTTCCCCTCCAAACTACTTACAGGAATAACTGCGTAGACTGTATCTTTTGCTGCAAAATACTGCTGCCAAATCTGTACAAAAAAAAGAGAGGATGTCTGTGACATGTGGGTAATCTTTTCAACCTGCACCAAGAAATGGTGACAGCTTTTATTTCTCAAAGCAATATGCTACTTGATAACAGGGAGGAAAAATCCAACATAATACTTTCATTACCAGTGTATGATTACAAAAAAGATTTAATACCATCCACTCTTCTACATGATTAAACTGTGACTCTTAATAACAAATTCCTGTCAGAGAATCTGATTCTAATACCTTGTTAATCACTCTGCTCAAGATGTGCTTTGTGTATGACAGACAATCTATTTTATTTTTGTATCTTGTCTCTTCCCTCCCCAAACTCACACCTCCCCACCCAGTTGTGGACCTTTCCAGAGACCAGGACAGCAAACATTCAGAGCCCACGGTCTGGAGTCAGCTGGACCTGGGTGCAAATCCCAGTTCCAATCATTTACTGGTCATGCTACCTTGGGCAAATTATCAAAATCCTCTAAATAACACCAGAAAAATGGCAATAATAACCTTACAGGATTATTGTGAGGACTAACTAAAATTTTGCAGATTTGTGCTTAGCACAGTACTTGGCACAGAGTAAACACTACAATTAAATGGGAGCTTTTATTAGCTAGCACTGCCTTCTTATAGACAGCTCTTAAAATCCTATTTCTGGAAAGTCTTCCTTATGAAAAAGTAGTAGACTCTGCTGGATTAGAAGTCCTACCTCAGGATGGCATCAAAGAATGGGGAAGGCATAGCTGATCTTCATTATGCAAATAACAAAAGGTAGGGAATACACCCACTCCTCAATTATTGACATGGTTAGGTTCCAAAGACCAGGTTGTTCTTCAAAAATCAACATTATGTGAAAATGGAGGATGACTACATCAGATCACAAAAATCTAAGATGACTACATCATTACATAACTGCTGAAGAACATCATTACATACCTGCTAAACTACTGAAAATCATGGCCCAGCCAAGTTGACACATAACCATAACCATCACAGCCAGCATCATTCTCACCTCGCACCTCTGCATTTGTTACTGCCCGGGGTACATTGTTAATGGGCAAAATAGTCAGATAGTAGATTTTTTAGTATTGTCGTAAATGTAAAATGTCAGAAAATGAGATAGTTGATAAGTGAGGAGTGGGTGTATTCCCAAACTATCATTCATCATTCAGCAAACATTTTTCTGAGCACTTTTTGGGTTACAAGGCATACAACATAGAGACCCTGCTTACAGGGGGACTGCTAACCAGTGAGGGAGATACAGCCATATGTAAATGACTTTATTATGAAGCAGCATATCCTAGGCATTTTATGAGAGGTATAAAGTACAAAAGCAGTTCACAGGATAACTTATGACTGAAATGATCAAGGGAGACTACATGGAGGAAGAGGTATATAGGTTCAGTCCTAGAGGACAGGAAGCATTTTGGGAGTCAAAGATGGGGTTAGGAAGACTTTTCAGTCAGAGACAGTAACACGTGCAAAGGCACGGAGGACAATAAAACTAATGGTAGTAAAAAACATGAACACAGCACGCATATGATATGATGCTAAGTGATAAAAAGCAAGACACAACATCGCATATATATGCTATATACACTATGAAAGAAAAAATATTCTGAAAAAGACATACTAGAAATATATAAAAATAGTAACCGATTTTGTTAGGGTGGTAAGACTATGGACATTTTCTTCCTTTTCTCTATTTCCTAATTTTAAAAATAATTTCATTATATAACTTCTATGATAAAACCTCATTAAAAAACTAAGGCAAAGAAGCAGAAACATATAAAATATAGTAAGGAAATCATGAGTTTTTGGATTTAATCTGAGACTAGAAAATGTACTGGAAAAGAGTAGGATGGGGCCAGAAATGTAGATGGAAGCTGGATCATGGAGGCCCTGAGAACCAGGTTAAGGAGTTCCGACTTTAGTTAGAGTCGCTGGAGTTTTTAAGCAGGGTGTAGCATGGTAAGAGTTATTTGGCGGCTTTCTGCACAACAGACTAAGAGGTGAGAGATTACAGCCAGGGATACCAGTTGGGAGATTTTTGCAGAATCACTATGATGATGGCCACTACCATCACCCTCATCAATGGCTATGATGATAAGCAACAGTAAGGATTTATTGAACACTTACTACATTCTGAGAAGCTGGACTACATGAAGAAGAAAGGGGCATCAGGATTGGAGGAAGACTCATTAACAACCTGCCATATACAGATGACACAACCTTGCTTGCTGAAAGTGAAGAGGACTTGAAACACTTCCTGATGAAGATCAAAGACCACAGCCTTCAGTATGGATTACACCTCAACATAAAGAAAACAAAAATCCTCACAACTGGACCAATAAGCAACATCATGATAAATGGAGAAAAGATTGAAGTTGTCAAGGATTTCATTTTACTTTGATCCACAATCAACACCCATGGAAGCAACAGTCAAGAAATCAAAAGATGCACTGCACTGGGCAAATCTGCTGCAAAAGACTTTTTTTTAAAGTGTTAAAAAAGCAAAGATGTCACTTTAAGGACTAAGGTGTGCCTGACCCAAGCCATGGTGTTTTATTTTTTCCATACAAAAATTTATACATACATTGTTATGTGACTCTAACTGCTCTCCCACTATGGTGACAGCACACTCCTCCTTTCCACCCCTGATTCCCCATGTCCATTCAACCAGCTCCTAACCCTCTCTGCCTTCCCATCTCACCTCCAGACAAAAACTGCCCTTTGGTCTCTTGTATCTACTTGAGCTAAGAGGCACACTCCTCACGAGCATCACTTTATGTCCCACAGTCCAGTCCAATCCCTGTCTGAAGAGTTGGCCTCAGAAATTCTTTTACTTCTGGGCTGATAGAGCATCCAGGTGCCATGCTTTCTGGCGTTCCTCCAGTCTCAGTCAGACCATTAAGTCTGGTCTTCTTACTAGAATTTGAGTTCTGTACCCCACCTTTCTCCTGCTCCATCCAGGACTCTCTGTTGTGTTCCCTGTCGGGGCGGTTATTGGTGTTGGCCAGGCACCATCTAGTTCTTCTGGTCTCAGGCTGATGAAGTCTCTGGTTTATGTGGCCCTTTCTGTCTCTTGGGCTAATACTTCCCTTGTGTCTTTGGTGTTCTTCATTCTCCTTTATTCTCCTTAGATGGCCGCCAAGCCATGGTGTTTTCAATTGCCTCATATGCATGTGAAAGCTGGACAATGAATAAGGAAGACCAAAGATGAACCAATGCCTTTGAATTACGGTGTTGGTGAAGAACACTGAATATACCATGGGCTGCCAGATGAACAAACAAATCTGTCTTGGAAGAAGTAAACTTAGCCAGAATGCTCATTACAAGCAAGGATGGCGAGACTTCATCTCACATACTTTGGATATGTTATCAAGCGGGACCTGTCCTTGGAGAAAGACATCATGCTTGGTAGAGCAGAATGTCAGTGAAAAAGAGAAAGACCCTCAATGAGATGGACTGACACAGAGGCTGCAACAACGGGCTCAAGCATAACGATTGTGAGGATGGTGCAGGACCAGGCAGTGTTTCATTCTATTGTACACAGGGTTGCTATGAGTTAGAATCGCCTCAATGGCACATAACAACAACAACAACGTCCAGGTACTATGTTAATCAATTTATGTGGATTATTAAATCTTATCTTCTACACCCCTATAAACTTGGTATTAATATCTCCCCATGCTAGATAAGGAAACAGAAGCTTAGAGATATTAAATTATTTGCCCAAGGATACAAAAGTAGTAAGGAATGATGCCAGGACTCAAACTCGTATCTGTTTCCAAAGTCTTTGTACCACTACACTATTTTGAACCTTTCCCCACCCTCCATCCTAGTAATAGAAAGAAGTTAAAACCTAGCTACAAACTGACCCCTTAATCATCTCATAATACATATCTCATTACTGGGAAAACAAGTGAAAACATCTGTCCTAAAACCATAAAATTCAGTCAAAAAGGACCTCAGAAATCATTTGGTCAGACAGATGGTAAGACAAAAAATGATACCATACAGTGCTTGAAAACCTCTAGACTGAGAAGCTAGCTATTTCCCACATACTCCAAAAGCTAATTTTTCCACCTGGGCCATCAATTTCATCCTTTCATTTCTTCATAGATTTTGTACCATCAACTATCATTCCTATCTCTTCTTACAGCTGCTCCTTCATCAGTGCCTTCTCCATATATCCAAATTTCTCTACTACTTAAAAATCCCTCTCTCGATTCTGACCCTCCTTGAATTTTATTTCCCTTCTTCCCCCCATCCATCAAATACTACACTTTTAAAAACAGTTTACACCCATTTGAGCAACCCACGAAAATCTCACCTTTACCCCTTCCCCTGTCCTCCCAAAACACTGACTTATAGCAACCTTATGTACAACAGAACAAAACAGTGCCTGGTCCTGTATCATCCTCGTGATCACCAGCATGTTCGAATCCATCATTTCAGCTATTGTGTCAATCCATCTCACTGAAGGTCTCCTTTGCACTCACTAGGACTGTACTTCAACAAAAATGGTATCTTCCTCTAGCAATTGATCCCTCTTGATGATGTGTCCAAAGCAAGCAAATCGAACAATATTCTGTTGTGATCCATAAGGTTTATATTGGTTAATTTTGGGAAGAAAGTTGCCAGGCCTTTCTTCCTAGTCTTAGTTTGAAACTTCTGCTGAAACCTGTCCACCAAGGGTGACCCTACTGATAGCATAGCTTCCAGCATCGCAGCAACACACAAGCCACCACAGTACAACAAACTGACAGACAGGTGGTGGCCCCATGCAAAAAGGGTGGTGTGGTGGGGGCGTCTGACCTCTAAATTCAAAAGGGGTAAGGAGAATCAAGCTCAACAGCCCAAGGCTAATTCCTGTGAAGCAGAGGTCAGACGTATCTCCTCTCTCCAAACGTTTTAGCAATTCTGACACCAGCTGTCCCTCCCATGGCGCTCTCTACTTCTCTGCTGGATTCGATAATTTATTGCAATGGCCACAAAGAACTCACAGACAATACTCACCTTTATGGGTTTTATTCGGGAAGTAACAAGTTACAATTCAGGATAAGAAATGACTCATGATACAGTTCTTCGATTAGGATAGTTTCTTTTCAGCCGTGCCTGCAAGCAGGCCTCTCTCTGGCCCTCGGCCCCACCTCTGTCCTACTTGAGCAAGTGTTACAAAGCTCTTTACCTCTGCCTGGGGGGCACCTCACTCTGCCAGCAAGCCTCAGCCTGAAGGTGCTCAGCTCTCTCTCTCTGTGGGTCAGCAAGCCTAGCTCCTCCAACAAGTACTCAGAGACACCCCACTCGATCAGGGAGCCTCCTGCCTGAAGGTGTTCACTCTCTCATTCCATGGGTCAGTACACCCACTATAACCACCTTACTCTGTGGGCCAGGAAGCTCACTGTACCATCTCACACCAGTCTCCTAGTTCTGCTGCCGCCATTTCTCTGCCACTACTTCTTGCCACCTTGTGCCGTCTCCATTGTTACAGCGCTCTCTGTTTCCTGGGTCTAGGAGGTTCTTGGCGTAGGGACCTCAGGTCTAAAGGATGCATTCCACTTCCATCTCTTATTCTTGGTGGTAGTCAGGTACCCCTTTCTGCCTCTGGGATGGTTCATTTTAAGCCTAGTGGGATGGCAAAACTGACCAATCCCCTCGTTAGGGTTCCATATACCTTATTTGCATGGTTCCACTCCCACAAGGGTGCCATGCACCTTATTTGCATTATTAGCAAGGTGTCCAATCCCCATGGTGGGTCACAGCACCTTATTTGCATAGTTCCACTCAATCACTTGATGGGAGTTACAAAACCATGGCAAGAAAGGCCATATAAAAGCAATCCATTGCACCACACCCCATAACATACCCTGTGGTCATTTAATAGACCTCACCCTGCTTAGCCTCTGCACAACATCTCATAGCATCAACCACTCCCTTGATTTCCATGACTCTATTCTGGTTAATGCACTTGACTGCTAACTGAAAAGTTGGAAGTTCGAGTCCACCCACAGATGCCTCGAAAGAAATGTGTGGTGATCTACTTCTAAAAAATCAGTTACTGAAAACCCTATGGAGCATAGTTCTACTTTGACACACGTGGGGTTGCCAGGAGCTGAAATCGACTTGACAGCAACCGGTTTAACTCTTCTTTGACCTTTGTAAGTATTCCTTCTCAGATTCTTTCACTAACTCTTTTTCCTTTTCTCATAGTTGTTGATGTTTCCAGGTTCCATCCTCAGTAGTCTATCATTTTTATTTTCTTACTGTCTCCCATGACTCCAACTACCATCTACATGACAAGGACTCCAGAAGTCATTCATTAATTTGAAAGCCATTTACTGAACATATATTACCTTATATGTCAGACAGAGAGTACAAAGACATAAAAGACACCATCTCTACTCCTGAAAAGCTCATGGTCCAGCGCATGGTTAGGCAACAGAGAATTATAATGCAACACACCCAGAGCCCAGGATGCTCTGAGGGCAAAGAAGAGGCATTTAACCTAGGCTAGAAAATGAGTGCCAGAAAGGACACTTGACTTCTATCCTGAAAAATGATCAGACATTAGCCAGGTGAACAGGAGGCTGGGAAGATGAATAGGTAGGATAGGCGATAAGAGATAAGTTCTAAGAAGCGAATGATAGTATTAGCAAAGACCCAGGTCAGGGAAGCTATCATAGTCAAGGTGACACCTGAGTGAGCTGATGCTGAAGACTGGGTCACCCTCCTTTAGAGTTGCTGTGCTTTTTCAACAATGATTTGAAAATGTGGGGCCCCAAGTAAAGACACCAATCAAGGTGCAGGCTAACAGAGCACAGAAGGACTATTATCTTCTAGAGCCTGGGCAAACCACTCTATTAATGCTCTATAAAACCACTCTACAAGGTTGCTTAGCTCTTTTTTTTAAGCATGTCAAAACACTATCTTGTCACTTTAAGGACAGCATATTCTGCTTATTTTGATTTAATTTGTGATATTAGCAGGTAATTCATGAATCAACACTGGTATATATTTCCTAATGTACTTGACCTTAGTTACTCAAAAATTGTTTCAACGAGTACAAATTTGTATCTAAATTTGTAAGTCTTCATGATACTTGTCATCTGAACTTGGGCCACTCCTAGGCCTGGTCTCTCTCTCCCAGAAATTACATGCTTGGTATTCACCTTCCATTGGCACATCTTCCCAAAGCCACAGTCTGAGTTCCTGAGACTTTGTATAAGCTTCTATTAACAGAAGTTAGAATCCTGTGCTATTTTTATTTTTGTGTCTGTTCCTCCACTGGGCAAAATTCCTTGAGAATAGGGGATCCTCTCATTTGTCTCTGTGTTAGCACACAGCCTGACATTTAATAGGTATTCAAAAAATGTTTGTTGAAATGAATGACACAGCATCCAAAGGAAACCCATGGCAATTGGCACAACTTTCTATAAGGGACTATGATGCACAGTCAAACAGACACAGGTTTGAGTCTCAGCTCTGCCATTAACTAAGTTAGTTAATACCTGTAAGTCACAGTTTCCTCAATTGTAAACTGGGAATAATAGCACCTACTTCACCAGGTGGTTATGAGAATTTAGTGAAATAATGCACATGAAGCACTAAGCACAGTAACTGACACATAGTAAACGGTTTTTATTATTATTTTGATCCTCTTAGTATACCTAAAATACATTTCATGGAGCTATTAGGAATGCCAGTAAACAGCTTATTGCAGTATAGTTAGAAAAGAATCACAGACATGAAAATGTAAATCATGCAAAACAAGATGTATGGAATGACCAAACAGACAGGACAGACTGTGAGTGCTTTGAAGGAAGGATTCCAGGAAGCTTCCTGCAGAAAAGTCTAATAATAATAGAAGGATTTGAATGCCAAGAAAAAGAATCTGGGAAGTCAGTGAACATTTGTGAGCAGGGTACTAACATCATATTTATTTTTATTCATGTACTTGAAAACACAAATGTAGCATTTACTCTGTGCCAGGCACTGTTTTGAGAGCTTTACAAATACAAACTTGTTTAATCTCCCCAGTAACTCTATGAAGAAAGCACTATTACTACCTATACTTTACAGATAGAAAAACTTGTCCAAGTCATTCAGCTAATACGTTAGTAAGCAGCAGAGCAACAATTTAAAACTTGCAGCCTGGTTCTAGAGTCTGTGTTCTTACTCAACACACTATGCTTTGCTACAATGAAAGCGCAACTTTAAGAGGACTCAACTGGTAAGGATCTGATAGGTGGAATGGGAAAGGGAGAAACGGGAGCAGGGAAGACTATCTGGAGGTAGTACAGTAATCCAGGTTGAGAGTACTGATGATTTTAAATAAGATGTGGGCAATAGGAATGAAAAAGTAAAGGGGGAATGTGAGCTCATAAGATATACGGGGTGAGACCACGAAAGACAAGTTTTCTTATGCCACTGTTCTTCATTAATTCACCTTTGTTTTTTTAAGACGTTTTGGCTAGAAAGAGGCGTCAGGAAGTGTATGCTCCTTTCTATACTCAGATTTGGTTCACAGACCACACATTTTCATAAAGTATGCCAAGCCATTTTCATTCATTACCTGCTTTATTTCTTCTGTAGTCTTGTCTTTTACCATCTCAATGTTAAAGATTGAACTGAGAGTCTGAAAGAAAATAAAAGGCAATTAACACTCAGAATTAAAAAAAAAAAAGTTTAATTCTGTCTCTCAGCTTTCGGGAGCAATGTGTCAGGAGAGTGAAGCAGATCTGCAATAAGCAGGGAACAAGTATAAGAAAAACTCAGAGGAAGTGAGCCCTCAAGTCCAGGCAGATTTTCACATTTCTATTCCTGGGGAGTATTTATAGGTCACAGTGTACCACCACCCCTCAGTCAGTGTGTTGTATTGTGGTGGCTTTCATGTTGCTATGATGCCAGAAGCTATGACACCTGTATTTCAAATACCATCAGGGTCACCATGGTGGACAGGTTTCAGCAGAGCTTCCAGACTAGGAGAGACTAGGAAAAAAGGCCTGGAGCTCTACTTCTGAAAATTAGCTAACGAAAACCCTATTGTCCAATATAGTTCTGGAAGATGAGCCCCCTAGATTGGAAGGCAATCAAAACACACAGTGGCCACAACAACTGACTTGAGCATACCAAGGATGGTGAAGATGGCACAGGACAGACAACATTTCAGTCTGTTGTACTTGGGTCTCTGTGAGTCAGAGCTGACTCGATGGCAACTAATACAACACAACACAACACAACATTATATAACTTGACTTCCCAAATGCTTTACCCTCACCGATAAGCCCCACAGCACTTTGTAGCTGGTGAGAGGAGAAGGCTTGGATGTTACTTCTAATTTAACTTCTATTCAACTAGGGGTGGCCCCTTATCTGCAAATTATTAACAGAGTAAACATGTTATTATCTGTCTTGTCTTTAAAGCTACTCCCCATAGAAAAGAAGGGAATTGCTACATTTTCTTCACATTTCCTCTAGCACCCCCAGGACCCACACTATGCTAGCGGTCATGACATGGACACAAAAAATCTATGAAAGACTTCTCATCTCTATGGTTGGAAAATCACCTTACATGAAATTACTGAAGTACAGTAAATATGTTCAAATTTGCAGCCTCATGTTATAGATGTTCCACATGACTTTAGAATTGATCTCTCTGTTTAATTGAAAACCTACCTTGTCCTTAGTGAATCCTCTGCTCATAGACTGTTTCCCCAAGGTGTCTGTCTGAAATACATGATGAGACAAGGGTATTAATTTCCCCTTTACTCAGAAAAAAAAGACCACCACACTAGATGAGGTACCCAACTTCTCATTAAGTAATTTTATACCTGAGAAATAAGCTCTCTCTACTATACATAATATCCTGTACATACTGTTCTAAGAGTTATTGTTTGTGAGACAACTTTCCTCTGGAGTATTTTCCCTCAGTGACTGAGATTCTGAGATGGAAAGGATTTCTCTCAGTCAGTAACGACCATCTGCTAGTACTGAGAGCCCATTCTGTACTTTCCACTGTGGATGTAAGGGACTCCTTCCCAGAACAAGGCCTGCTTGGGCTTCCTGTGCTCTACCCTCTGATGTGCTTCACGCTGAGCCACAACATAGATGAGAAACTTAGATGTATTTCTCACAGCTGCTTCTTATCTCTGACAGCATTTCTGATGGCAGGTATCCTCAGCTGACTACATAGAGTTTTTTCCACTACTCAGTCTTAATATTCTCTCCTCAAATTAGACTCCCACTAAAAAAGGCCAAGAACAACTAAAAGTGATTATTTTCCCTCCTGGCCCACTATCTCTGATAAAGGCCACTTCCAGGAAGTCCTGTTGTAGGGACAGGTTGTCCCTAAGTCTTCCACTTAGTCACTCAGTCCAAGATCAGGCCTTTCAGAGGGAAGGAGTACAGTCTACACGTGGGATTTTGAGGCTGAAAAACTCTTTTGGCATAAAACCCTGCCTCTTGTTGCTCTGTGCTTTAATGAATCCAAACCTTTCAGAAATGATGCCCACAGAACCTGTAAGAACAAATTGGTGTAGAAAAACCTATTGGATACACTCTGGTCTTTTTGGTCACACCCCTATACACAGGTAGCATCCTAATACAAGCCTCATCATTATACGTTAATATCCAAAGGAGAAAGAATCATTTTAATTTCATCTTCAGATCACTGACCCGAATCATTTTCATTTCATCTTCAGATCACTGACCCTCAAGTTTACCAGGAAAACAAAACAAAACAAAACCCTCCACTTGCACAGATGCCTTCACCTTTTAAACACCAAGCATCAAGCTCCGTGCATTCTTTCCCCATGATGTCCCTCCAATCCATTCATTGTTTCATTTTCACTTGTAGAAATAAAAAATGTAAGCCCCCACGTATAAGTGTATTATATTTTATCAAAGCTAAGACACCTCTGATTTAAGATGCACCATTATTTTATGTATCAGAAAATGATGTCAATTAAACAGTAGCATAATACTTTCACATCAATTTTAAGACAATTTCAGAGATGTTAAAAAAAAAAAACCAAAACACCAAAAATGCAGGCTTTAGAATAGATGAAATAAGGTAATTAAAAATGGAGTTGAAACTATATGCCAAAAGTGTCAAGAGCACTTAATACATTTAAATGGATGCATTATTGCCCCCTACAGATGCTTTGGAAATCTGTGGGGACAATTTTTTTTTGTTGTCACAATAATTGATTGGATGGTAATACCTGCATTTATGGCAGGGGCAGGGGTACCACCAGATGCTAGATGAGCTGCAGTTTGCAGATGAGTTCCATATAATGAAGAATACTTCCCCCATCCTGCACGACTTTTCAGTGTCTAGCCAGACATTCCAGTAAGTAAAAAACCTTTTATAATTACTTGGGCCTAGAACCTAACTCCACTTTGCTTTTTTTTTTTCTAAAACACAGCCTTAACGAACACTGGATTTTCCAGAAATGCAACTACTATATAACTGAGAGAAGACTATACATTGTGGAATCTCAGGTCACTGATAACACTGCTCATGGTTTTGAAGTCACTAATACAACATCCCTGTACCACTCAGCATGAGTGAATGTAGCTGACTACATTAGTTCTTACAGTAATGGTGTGCCCAAGAATAAGAATCTACATACTAAAATATGTATTTTATCTAAAAATACTTTCCTTTATATTATGGTTAAGGTATTATATTGATTCCTCCCAACCCCCCAAATTATGTGTAGATTATATTGTCTAGATTTCATTTCGGGGTAGAAAAAGGAGAATTGAAAGAAAAATTTTTTTATAAAAGGGGGATGTTGAGTCCAATGTCGTAGGGAACCAATGACTCAAAGTAAAGAAAAGGCTTTGGGAATGAAGAGTACAGGGCCAGTCATTAGCCTTCCTCTATCTAGATAAGAAAGATAGTAAACAAATATTTACCTAAGAGTTACCATAATTTAAATTAAATCTTTACTTATTCTGCATCTTATCATCATTGAGTTTCTATGTCTGTTTACAAAAAGGGGCAAAGAGCTTTCCCATATAATATTGAAAGTCTGTAAAACAGCAACATTTCCAAGAGGTGCTTGTAACTTTGGTACAATGACTGTTTATTACAGGAAATTACATTTGTTAAAGTATTTGTAGTAGAGAGTTGTTTGTTTCCATAGAGTTATAAATGATGTTTGTCACAGGAGGCTGAATTTGCTCACCCATCTTGTGATGATTAACCCACTGACTACCGATCTTGTTCTAATTAATTCAAGCAGTTATTAAAAGAACGAGTTCTCTTAAAAAATAGGATGCCCAAGGCAAAAAAAAAAAACAAAACACATTTATTTTCAAGTAAAATAAACATCTCTGAGTTGACTTTAACATAGAATCCCAGTTTTCCACTCTAACTACCTCATTGCAGGCTCTCAGCAGCCCAGGCCCGGCTTACTGCACATTCTCCCTGGCTCTAGCCTCTCCCGCTCCAGTTTGTTCTGTGCACCACCCTACCGTAGTGTTTCAAATCATAGGCTGTGAAATCAATTTAGTGGACCGTGGTCAGAGTTTTTTAAAAGATGAAAAAGAACAGAAAATAAAGAATGAATTACACATAGTAAAAGTAAGCAATGCTTTGTAAACAATACAATCCTACATGTATGTGTGTAGTGAGTTGTAATGTAAAATATATTTCTTATTATGGGTCATGGTCAAAAAGTTTGAAAAACACTGCATTAATCTTCCTATGTACAGCTTTCAACATGCTCTTCTCCAGCTCTGATTCTTATTTAAGGATAATAATGGTTAAAATGTATTAAGTATTTATTATGTGCTAGGGACTTTGCATGTAATTATCTCATTCAGTCTTCAGCATGAGTCTATGAGGTAGGTACTGTTATTACTCCTGTTTTACAGATAAGCAAACTGAGGTACAGAGAGGTTTATATAATATGGCCACAGTCACCCGGCTACTAAGTGGAAGAGCTAGGATTCAGTCCCTGGCATCTGACTCCAGAGAGCATCCTCTTAGCAGGTAAGCTATCCTGCCTCCACTCCTTAAGCCCCAATGTCTCAGCTTGGAGGTGAATACCTAACCTATTTCTGCAGCCCCAATACTTTCCTCTCCATTTTCACTAGGCAAGCTCTGTCTCCTGAACCCCCCTTTACTTTCAAAGCTCTTCCTCTGTTTAAGCCAGTTCCTCCACATTAGGGGTTTGCAAACTAAATCCAGCCTTCCACTTACTTATTCATTTATTTTTAACCTCCACCTGTGTTTGTTGTAGTTTTACTGGAACACAGCCACATCCAATCACTTACTGTCTATGGCTGCTTTTGTACTTCAAGAGTAGAGCTGAGTAGTTGCAACAGAGACCAAATAGTCCACAAAGCCTAAAATATTTACTATCTTGTTCTTTACAAAAAAAGTTTCCCAACCACTGCTCTACATCAAAGTCCCACCCATCCTTCCTAGCCTAGGTCAGGTCCTACCTTCCCTGGGAATCTCCCTGACCCCTACTGCCTGCTGCATGGTGCCTTGCTTCAGTCTACTAGACTGCACCCGTGGGGAGCAGGAACTACCCCTTTCATCCCTCTACGTCTCCACCATGGCCACCTTGCCCAGAAAGATTAGGATACGCATTTGTAGATGGAAACTGAACCCAGCAGAAAGGCTATGTTCAATTCATCCAGCTGACCCATCGATGAGCCCACTCCCAGGATAAGATGGGGCGGGGGAGGGTGGAGAGTAGGGTAAAGCTCTGATAAGGCAACTATATAAACAGAAGGGGCAGGCCTTACCTTTTGCTCCACACATTTGATAAAGTCACCTTGTCTGGAGTGCCCCACTGGCTGCTTCTGAAACTCACTGCGCTTCTCCAAGAGAGACTCAAAAGCAGCGGGGTCAGACCTGATCGAAGGTAAACCAAAGATTAAACCACCTGGGCCTTATCCGATTTTGAAATAATGAAGCGTTGTATTCTACCTCCACAGATAGAGAGGCATTCACAGCTGAAGGACTTGCCTTTAGTTACTTAGGACTGAGCCTCAAGACTGAGCAGAGAAATCAAGGAAGTGGAAAAAGAAATCCAGTTATTTAACTACTGTCAATCCTCAAGTGGCCTGTGTAGCATTTTCCCCCTGCAGATTATTCCCTAAGGTGATACAGGGCTTGGTCCCTCAGAGGTGCTTAGAATCCTTAGGATGGGAAAGAGTACTTTGAGTAATATTGCTGGGTTGCCTCCTCAGGCAGGAATCCTACAGCATCCCTACTAGGTGTCAAGCTTTTACTTGAACACATCCAGTTCTTGGACATCTTTTATTAGGAAAACATTCTGAACCAAAATCTCTCTCTCTGTAACTCTCACCCTCCGGAGCAAGAGAAATTGTTTCATTCCTTCTACGTAAATACTTAAAAATCGCTATTATGTGACCTCCTAAGTTTCTCTTTTCTAAGTTAAATTTCCTTAGTTTTTTCAGCCCCTCCTCATACATGATTTGTAAATCTTTCCTCACTGTGGACCTGCTTTCTGGACACCCTCCAAATTATCCACACCCTAAATATAGTTGGGTACCTGGAGCTGGATCCAACCCTCCTAGCTCCCAGCCCTCCAAAGTAGAGTGTCATGCAAAAATCCAGATACTGGGCCGGAATAGGGCAGGAAGGTACACAGTGTGGTTCTGCCAGTGGCTTACACTGAGCTTGTAGTGGTCCTCCAGGAATCCAGCTTTAATGAGTATGCCCCAATTGGTGAGTATATGTAACCAATTAGCACTGCAATTCCTTTTTAAACATTTCATGATCTCCTACCCATTTAGTCCAGGACCTAAGGCCAGGTCCTGTTTTGCCCCTTCCCTTAACCTGCCCCAGGTTCTGGTGACCATTTTTTGGCCCTGCTTTTCTTCCACCTCAACTTCATACTGTCCTTTTTGAATCCAGATAGCACTTCCTCCCGTCTCTCCCACTCTTGTCTCACTCAGCGTCTTTAGGACTTACTCTTTCCCCTCTCCTTTTCATTCATAGAACAAATTTCACTTGGTGTCTATTACCTTTTGGTTACCTTCCTAGGCTTTAGGGATACAGAAGTGAATAACAGAGTCTCTACTCAAGGAGTTTACTATCTGTTGAGAGAGACAGACACGTAAAATAAGTAGAGTGTTACAGGTATGATGATGAAAATTTACTGAAACCTCCCCAAATGGTTGAGATGGTTTCATATTTCTATACCTTCACTTATGCTGCTGCTCCCCCTACCCTCATTCCTTTGTGTTAGAGCATAGTGCCCCAAGGACATTTTGGTAATAAGTGAGGCTAGAGACAGGGTGTGAAGGCCTTGTGTGGAACACTAATGGATTTGAATATTATCCACAGGCCAATGGGGTGCCCCGGAAAGCTCATGCTTCAGGAGATAACAGGCTATAAATGCTAATGGGAATGATCTAGTAGGGAAGGAGCGCAAAACCAGTCATTCATTTGTTCATGAGTATGAATGAATGCGAACTGATAAAGTGTTCATAGTGTGAGTACACAGTTCTGAGATGCTTGTTTGTGAAAGGGATCAAAGACAGAAGGCTGGAAGGGAATGCAGGTTAAGGAAAAGTTTTTAAGGTGACAGATACTTGAGCATATTTGAATGCTATTGAAAGGAGAGCAAAAATATACATTCATTCATTTATTCCATCATTCTTCCAAAAAGTGAGAAAGATCACTGCAGTAACAGTGAGATGGACTGGGGTGAAGACTAGTTACAGAATGACTGCAATAGTCCAGGCTGAAGATGATGGAGGAGTAAATTAAGGCAGTGGAAGCAGAGAGGAATCAGAACTCAAAGGCGGGTTTACTCAGCCTTTGGTTTCCTCTCATAAGACAACTGTCTGCCTACCCTGCCAAATTATCTCCCAAGCCCCTTTCATTGCACCTTTGATCTCCTTCAGCCCTTTCCACTTGACCTCTTCAGATCTTCCCAGGGCCCCCCTACACCCACCTCAATCCCCTCCACTCTCCACGTCCTTCCCTCTGGAACCTGAAGGGGTAGTGGTAGAACCCTGGATTCAGAGTTAGAAGATATTAAGTTCTACATCTCAACCAGATGTGTGACCTTTGGCAAATCTACTCTCTCAACCTCAGTTTCTTCATCTGAAGGACAGGGTTCAGTTGATGATCCAGCTGTGATACTATAAGTCTTTGACGCTCTACTTCCACTCCCTGCAGTCAGGGCCCTCAGCTAGGAGCCCAGGAATCCTAGTTCTGGGTCACGCCACAGCTGACTCAATATGTGACCTTGAACAAGTCAAGTTCTAACCCCAGAAGTCTCTATTTTCCCATTTCTATAACGGGGACAGGTCTCCCTGAGCTGCCTGCATCTCGGGGCTGTCATAAGAGTCCATCTCAGCATTCTGAGAACTAAAGCACAAAGATAGAAACTGGGGAAAGAGCTAGGGATTGGCAGAGACTCCCAGCTCTGTCACTAGCTGTGTGATCTTAAGCAACTGACTTAGCCTCTCTGAGCCTCATATACATCATTTGAAGAGTGGGGACAGTAACAGTGCCCATCTCGCAGCGCTGCTGTAAAGCTTGAAAGAGCCAGACCAGACAGATGCCCGCGCAAGTCGCCGCTCCCCCACCCAACCCCCGCAAGCCGGCCCCTGGTCCGCACCTGCGCAGCTGCTGGATCTTGTCGCGGTAGCGGTCGTAGAAGGGGTTGGCTTCGAGCTCCGCCCCGACCCCATTGCCGTCAGCGCCCCCAGCAGGCCGGCCCGAGCCGCGGCGCACCGAAAATACGCGCAACTGCGTGGGTGAAACGAGCCCCAGGCCCAGGGCGCGGCTGCGCACGGTGCACAGACCCCGGTAAAGGCCGGCCACCTGCAGGACGGCCGGGCCTGCGCCCCCAGCAGCCGCCGGCAGAGCCGCCATAGCCGCCCCTTCCTCCTCCTCAGGCGCGCGGGTCTCAGCCTGCGGCCTGCGCTTCTGCTCCATCGCCCTCCGGGTCCGCTGCGCCCGCGTTCCGGCACCGAGGTTCCGCGCGCCCAACGTTCCGGTGGGGGAAGGCGAGGTGATGTTCGTAGGGAAGAAGCGGGCTAGTCGCTTTGGTTCTGGCTTCGCGCGCTCACGGCGCTCTGTGTGTCCCACGGCCTGCCTTCTCCGGGGAGCCTGCCTGGATTCACGCCCTCCGGCTCGGGACCAGCAGCCTCTGCGCAGGAATCCTCTTCATGAAAGCCTGCGCAGACCTCCAGATCCTCACGGAGCTTGCTCCCTTTTAAATTGTCTTGGCTCTCGCTAAAGTAGCTGCCCATCAGCAACAAGGCCCTTTCATCAACTATAATCGCAGCAGCAACTTTGCTTTATTGAGCATTTCTATGTGCTGGAAAGTTTATCTGCTTCCTATCCTGGGAGGCAGGTATTATCCTCATTTTACAAAGAAGGAAACTGAGGCTGGGAGTCATTTAAGGGACTAGTCCAAGTTCTAGCCAAGTGCTGAACTCTTTCAGGATGCCAGCTGCTTCCCAAGCCTTGTCTCTAGAAGCCTTGTGTCTCTCAGCTCCCTGACATCCACCTTGAGCTTAAGCCAAACGGAACTACTCTCCTAAATGTTGTTAGCTGCCAGTGAGTGGACTCACCGCGACCCCATGTATAACGGGATCGGACCCTTGTGATCCACAGGGTTTTCATTTGTTGATTTCCAAAAGTAGACCTCCAGGCCCTTGCTAACCCTTCTTAGTCTGGAAGCTCCACCGAAATGTGTTCAGCATCATAGCAACACGAAAGCCTCCACTGACAGACTGTGCTGTGCATGAGGTGCATTGGCCAGGAATTGAGTCTCTCACAGGGAAGGTGAGACTGCTACAAATGAACCACCACTGTCCCTCTCCTCTCCTAAATAGACACCAGGATTTGTCTTTGACAAGCCTTTATTCAGGCTGTTTCTGATCCCTGGAATGCTCTCTCCTTTCTCTCCCTCAACCCAAATGCCACGATCTTCACTCCCTGAATCAGGTGTGAATTCCTGGCACTGTGAATTCCTGGGGTCAGGGACAGTGACACCAACATCTCTGTGTCTCACCTGTTCCCAGGATAGGGTCAGGCGTGGAGCAGGCCCTTTGCAACGGCACTGATCAATTTGCCTTGCATGGAAGCCCTGTCTGGATCTTACCCTGTAGAAACCCCCCTGGGATTGTAGACTTCTCAAGGTTATGGGCAGATCCTTCATCTCTGTTCAAGCGAACCTTCAGACTCAGGGAGATCAGATCAGCCCTGGGACTTGTCTTGTGCTGGGAAAAGTGTGTTGGACTGTAAGATTAACAAATCCTTCAAGTGTGCCAGCCTGTACCTGTCTCAGTGTCCCTGCACTTGCTCACTCTGCTTGGATCTCCACATCGTTGCCCTTCACCATTCAGGGCTCAGTTCACATGTCAGCACCTCAGAGATCTTTCTTGATGTACCCTCATCCTTTTAAATTCTTTATTCCATTACTGTTTTATTCTCTTCAAAGCAGTTACCATTTTCTGAAATTCTTAGATATTTCCTTGTTTACATTAACTCATGGAAATTGCATTCTAGTGGGGTAAGAAAGACAATAAATATATAACGTTAAGGAATGATACATGGTGCGCAGAAAAATGTAGGCAGAGAGGGAGGGGAAGGGAAGCAGAAAGAGAGACTGAGCAGAGACATGAATGAAATGAGGAGTGATCTGTATGGATATCTGGAGGAAGAAAGGATACCTGTTGCCATCGAGTCGATTCCGATTCATAGCAACCCTATAGGACAGAGTAGAACTGCCCCATAGAGTTTCCAAGGAGCAGCTGGTGAATTCGAACTGCTGACCTTTTGGTTAGCAGCCATAGCTTGCCGTAGCTGTTAACCACTGTGCCACCAGAGTAGTAAGTGCAACATTCCCTATGCAGGAGCATGCTTGCTGTACTTAAGGAACATCGAGGAGGTTATCATTGCTGGAATGAGTGAGGAGGACAGAGATAAGGTGAAGAAGGTATGGGGGCTTTGTAGGCCTTGGTTAAGGACTTTGATTTTTAATCTGAGTGAGATGGGAAGTCACTGTAGGTTTCAAGCAGGAGTAACACGATCTACTTTTAAGAAGGATCACATCACTTTGGCTTCTGATGGAATACAGGGCACAGGGGGCAAAGATGGAAGCTCTCCCTAGGGTGATCAACTTGTCTCAGTTTACCTGGAATTCCTCTGATTTTAGAATTGAAAATCCCATGCCTAGGAGCTCCCTCAGCCCTGGGCAAACTGGGATGGTTAGTCGCCCTACAGGGAGACCAGTAATCCAAGTGAGAGATGGTGGTGCTTGGACTAAAGTGGTAGTGATGGAAAAATGGTCAGATTCTGGGTATATTTTGAAAGTTGAGCCTAAAGATTTTGCTGATGGAGTGAATGTGGGTGTGAGAGAATGAACAGAGTCAAAGATGACTTAAAAGATTTTGGCATGAACAACTGGAAGGAGAGAGTTGCCATTTATGGAGAAGAGGAAGGCTGCAGCTGGAGTAAGTTTTAGAGGATGATCAGGAGTTTGGTTTTGGACGTGTTGGTTTGAGATATTTAATAGACTAGCAAGTAGGGATGTCAAGCAGGCTGTTGGGTACATGAGTCTAGAGTTCAGAGTGGTCCTAAGCAGGCTAGAGATACAAAGTTGAGAGTTGCCAGTGTATATATGAAGCCATGAGTCTGGATGAGATCACAGGGAATGAAAGTAGATGGAGGGCTGAGCCCTAGGGCACTCCAGCATTTAGAGATCAGAGAAAAAAGGAGAAACCAGCAAAGGAGACTAAAAAGAGGAACCACTGAGGTAGGAGGAGAGCCAAGGGTAAGCAGAACCTAGAGTGAAATCTGTGCTAAATATTGCCCCAAGTCACATGCTGGGGGAGTATAAGAGGGGGTAATTAAATAATGCCAAGAGGCCAAGCTAGGACCAGTAATGTATCCTACAGGGAGGCTGACTTGGGCTTAACTAGGGAAGGGCTTTCTAACTGAGCTGTCCCTAAATGGTTCAAACTGCCTCAGGAAGTGAACTAATCCCTGGAGGGATTAGTTGCTGGGTAGGGGAGATCTACTTGAGGACTCAAACATCTGATGGGAGTTGGACTAGGCAACCCTCAAAGTCCCTTCAAATTGGAAGATGATGTGATTCTAGGAAGCCAGCTGAAGCAACTGTTTGTCACAGAGTAGGGGTTGAGCTGAGCCTTGAAGGATAAGCAGGTATTCAGTGGGGAGGGGCACACCTGGGTGAGGGAGCAGTCTGAGTAAAACTCCACAGATGTAAGTGGGGTCTGTGAAGGAGTCTGACCTGGCCACAAGGGAAAGGTGTGTGAAGGATGGGGAAGGAGATGGGGCTGGAAAGGGATGTAGGGCCAGACGGTGCAGACCTCTCACAGGGCCTGATGCCCAGGAAACACTTGCCAACACTTGTTGAAGGAAAGTAACCAAACAAAAGAGAGACTGGAGAAGCCAACGAAGGAGGGGTTGACTATTTGGTTCCCTTGAGCAGGTTTTCTTCTGACAACTTGGTCATAGACTTCTTGAGGGCAGGGACTGCCAACACGGTGTGTTTCCTGTCCCACTCCCCACTGGGGATAAGTATCCATTAACTCTTCCGTAAAGACCAGCTATATAGATAAGCCCCCAAGGGAGCTAGGGCCCTTTCCTGGGGGACTGCTTTGTGGGTTGATGGGTTGGGGGCAGACAGTTCAGTGAGTGAGTTAGTCTGATAGAAGCAGCAGAGAAATACCATATGCATGAGACCCTACTGGATGAAGCTCCTTCCTTCCACCAGCCCAAGACCACTCTATTAGCACTGCCCCCTGGAATGCTCAATGCCCAGAACCCAGTGACCTCTCCCTTAGGGAACAATGGGGCCTGGACATTCTGGGGGGTCCCATTGGCTGGACAGGGGCAGGTGGGTGAACGCTTTCTCCTCAGAGTCACCAGCTGGGTATCAAGGCTCAACCTTATGGATTCCCCAAGGGAGGACCTGAGCCTCCCTGGCGGTAAATGCTCCTCCAATCCCTGCCCCTTGCCTTGCACCCTTGGGCTTGGGGGCAATTAGGGAAGACCCTTTGCATGGATGGGGTGGTGGCTGCCTGCATGGAGGAGTGATAAGCAGTTAAGATATGGTTTCCTCTAGAAAACTAAGGATTTCTTGAGAGCAGAGACCATGTTTCTCTTCCCAACCAGAGAGGGTACTATGAGTACCCCAGGCCCATCACAGCTGAATGGTGGTATTGTGGAACAGGATAAGAAATTGCTGCCTCCGTTAACTGGTGAACTTTCACCTCCGTGATGGGCCTTGCTCTAAGCGAGGCTTCTCAGTCTGATGAATTGGATGGGTCTGGAGCTGGGAACCACAGGTTTGTTTGTCTAAGCCTAGGAAGGTCATGTCCCCTCTAGACCTAGCTTTCCTTATCTATAAAGAGATAAAGGTGGCTTCTAAGCTCCCTGGAAATCTAGCTTTGATGAAATAAAAGAATGATGAGGTTAAGTCAGTGAGGGAAGGAAGGAATGGATAGGGTGGTTAAGAGGATGGCGTGATTGATGAATGGGTTAAGTCAAGGAGAGGAATGTGAAACAGCTCAGGCTCCAAGCCAGAGCTATCAGCCAGCCTGCCTCTTTTTCTTTCTTACTGTCTTAGTGTGGGTCTCACTGTACTTTGGATTCCTGGGGCTGTGTTCTGTGGTAACTGGCGGCTGCATTCTCTTTCTGCACTGGAAGAAGAACTTGCGGCGAGAAGAGCGTGCCCGGGAGTGGGTGGATGTGATGAGAGCTTCCACGTTCACCTACAGCCCACTGTTGTATTGGATTAACAAGCGACGGCAGTATGGCATGAATGCAGCCATCAACATGGGCCCTCCTCCTGCTGTCACCAAGACTGAGACCGAGGCCCAGAATCTAGATCCTCTGTGGGAGCTGGATGTCCCCAAGGGCAGGAGCCATGCTGTCCAAGACAGCAGCCCCCAAGTGGAGGCCTCTGTCCTCCTGCAACCTGCACTGCAGCTGATGCCACAACAGCCCCTACCCACCCCAACGCCACAGCCTCAGGCCAGCTCTCCACTCCCAATTCCCATCTTTGAGGAGGTGCCCTTTGCCCTGTCCCTGTGCAACCTACCCCCCATGATGAACCATTCTGTCTCCTACCCTTTGGCCATCTGTCCTGAGAGGAACATACACTTCCATTCCCTTCCCACACTGGCCCGAGGTGACCACTGCGCCAATGCCAAGCCTTTTGCTTCAGAATTGTAGACTCCTCTCACAACGACTGGAAGCTGCAGGCATCAGGGGCAGAGTAGGAAACAGAGCTAACCTCAGGGAGATGGTATTATCACAGAGGTTAGTGCTCATATGGATGTCACGTTAATGAAAGATTAAAAAAAGTCCAAGGTTCCTTTGTGTCTCATTTGTTAGGAGGGCAATGTTCCTCCCCTCTTTGATAGGGGCACTTTGCAAACCAAGCTGAAGGTCACTGAGTCTCACCAACACAGATGGGAACTAAACCAGCACTGTGGGTGGGTGGGCTCAACATCCCTTCATCCAGTCTTTATTAAAGACCAATAATATGAGCCAGGCCCTGGGCGACGTACCCAAAGGAGCTGCTCTGCGGTGGGACTTAAAGCACAGCTGCCACAAGAGTGCGAGCTGCTAAAGTTGCATGAGCTATGGCAATTGACAGTGGCCATGTTGCAGGCAAAACAAGTCGTCATGAAATTACTGCATGAACTGCATTCATTGTTAACAATATCTATGATATATTGGGTTTTTATGTGGTTGTCTTTGTACATTTTTTCTAACATAAGAACACTGCCAAATGGATATCATAATCTCTCCCTTTTACAGATGAAGAAACTGAGGTTCAAAGGGCATCTGCTAAAAGCCTATCTTTTTTATATTTCACAGCCAGGACTCAAAGTTCCCACCATACACCATGGTGTCCCTTTCCTAATATCTTGTTAGAAAACACCTGACAAATGCTTTTGTGTGTGTGTGTGTATGTGTAGGTTGCAATTAACTCAATGTCCAGAGACTGGCTTGGGGAAAGGGCTGGTCAGTGAATCCCCTAAAATTATACACAGAAATGTATCCATAACATTTATCTTTCTCAAAGGGATTCATGGCTCCCTAAAAGTTAAGATCCACTACATGCAAGTTTTAACTTATGGATCTTCTAGAAGTGATCCTAAAAGGAGAGACAAGATAATATCACATGCTATTTGTTCCCAGTTTAAAGAAAATCCAGCTCTGCTCCAGGATATATATTTCTTTCACTTTGGAAATGAGCAAATGCTTCCCACTCATCATATCTGTAAATGAGCTAAGCTAGTCTTCCCTGAGGGAGGAGGGCTACTCAGATTTTTTTTAAGGGGGGGATCCCATAATCTAGTAAACTTGTGCCAAAAAGCCCAAGCCCTTGTAAAACCCTGCTCTAGTAATGGATTTCAAGAAGTCTTTTGCTTTTTAAAAGAAAGTGGAACATTTTTTGCAAACATGCTCTTATATTGAATCTCAAAATATAGTCCTCAGTTGAGCTGCTCTGGTTTATGTAAGGCCAGGAGCTCACTCTTCCCTCACATATCCCACCTCCCATGGCTCTGTAGACGCCTACATCTGAGCCCTGTAATCTTTGCTTCTTTGGGCCAAATATTGTGATTCTTACGGCAGATTCGTGAACATTACTTTGTACCCACCATCTGTTAGTCTCGGCTTTCAAGAGGAGGAAGGAATCCATAAAAATAGGGAACATATTTTTTTTCCTTAGTAATCTGGGGGGCTTTAGTCATGGACACAGTGAGAGAGAAAAAGGAAATGTTTTATTTAGATAAATTAAAATGGCTGTGTTACTGATATGAAATAAGCAAAGCTCAAATCAAGTCATGGAAGCCACTCCCTAAATAGAACTGAAATTGCTTATACATTACCAAAATAGCTCCACTAAAACAAAGTAGATTTATATTTCTCAATATGAGAAAACAACAAGGTAGGCTAGGTTCGTGTAACAAACAATACACACTCTGTAAAGTTTCAGGATCACCCAAATGTGTTCTGGTTTGTATATGAAAGAAGGGACCACATCTAGCTGGTGTTGGTAAGCAAGCCAGTGAGGTGTGTAGCAAACAAAATCTGTCACTAAAAACAACTTAATAGCAAGCCATTGTGAGTATGAGCCCACTGCAGTCAAAATCCTCAACTGTGACCGGCAGGAACAGCAAGGGGGCTTCAAGAGGTTATGTCCAGCAACTACAAAGTAAGGAAACTTCAATGGAAGGGAAAATACCAGCAGCAGGTGAAGGGTGTCCACTCTCCAGCTGTTATACCAGATACATTCCTTTCTGCTGGCTGCCTCTCTGCCCTTAAGATGACACTGTCATCATCCCTAAGCCAGGTACTCTCTTCTTTTAGTGCTTCTCTTCCTATACCACCTTTTTACCTCTCTCTGTTTTATGGGAAGGCTCTTTAAATAAATGAAATACCAGACGGTATAAGGCAAAGGAATAAAACGACCAAGAAGCCAGGCTTTGGGTAACTTAGGAAAGCAGCAGTACAAACTGCTAGAGTTAAACGGTAAAAAGATATAAACGCAAGCCAAACTCAGCACCACTACCCAACCTTCCTCTGAGAGTTGAGTCATGTGGCAGGTGAAGCTGAAACAACATACAAATAAAAACACCAAATTAAACACTGAATAATAGGCTTATGGGGCTCTTAAGGCAGTCAGCCTGCTCAACTTGCAGTATGACAAGGGCCTCACAGGTCTGGGAGTGTAGCATAACACTTTACCAGACCTGGTAGGGAGAAAGGACAGTACTACACAGCTCGCTCAGGGATGATGCTGGCCTGATGAGCTCAAGGTGGAACAAACTAAGATAAACTAAAAAAACTTTTAAATAAGACTTCTTCACTTACAGCTACCTGATATAAAAGTACACACAACAAAGAGTTAAGGTGTCCTCAAAGTAGCTGCCTATGAATAAGAATTTGAAACTAAAAAGGACAAGCTACGTTACTCTTAAGTATAGTTCATATAAATCAGTTCTCAAAAAAAAAATACCCTCCAGATATAGGCATACTATTTATGGTACCGTATATACAAATACAGTAGTATAATTCAATTTATTGCTAGAATTTTATTTGGTTGTTACAAAATCTGTAAGGGTACATATATTAAAAAAAAGGGGGGGGGGCATGGAAGGCAGCCAGAAAGAATAAGAGTTGTCTTCAAGTTACCTAAAACACCAAGCTTATTTTATACAATATTTTAACCTTTCCGAGAAAGTGAACTAGCTCAGATGGGCGAGGAAAATGTTTTTTGAAAAAATTGAGAAGCATTAAGCTATAATGAGGTAAGCAGACACATTCATGGGAAAAGACTTCACCTTGCTTTAATTAACTTTTTTTTCCCTAGAATTAACATTCTAGGAAAATTAAAAAACAAACAGCTCTTAAGCTTGTAAGGGTGCTACCCTGGTGGTGCAGTGGTTAAGCGCTCAGCTGCTAACCAAACGGCTGGCAGTTCAAATCCACCAGCTGCTCCTTGGAAACCCTACGGGGCAGTTCTATTCTATCCCATAGGGTCACTGTAAGTAGGAATCAACTTGATGGCAATGGTTTTGGGTTTGGGTTTTGGATTGCATTCATGGCTGACAGGGCACCTTGGACAGAAAGTTAAAGTGGCAATGAGCTCTACTAAAGAAGCATGTGCCATGAAAGCTTCTCTAGTTTCTCCCTGACTTGGCCTACAGCAAAGTTTTGCTCCTTTCGTGTTGCCCAAAGACTGTTTCTAGGAACAACACACAAAGACATGACAGCATTATTCCTTCCAGTCCATGGACCTTCAGTGTCAGGCCACAGAAGTATTTAAAGGGAGGAAAAGTACTGCATTTATTTGTATTAGATTTGAGGAAACTTGCTACTATCACATGAAGCCCCCTACTCCAGGCTGCCTACTTTGGGAGATAAATCCTTTGACATCTTTTGGACAGAAAGTCTTTTAGCTAATTAAGAGCTGAAAATGGTACGAATGTGATTTCATGTGTGGTTACCTTTGTTTCATTTCACAACCTTTTTGGCCTTAGCCTACAGAGAAATATATTGGGTTCTTGGTTAACTCCCAGGTAAAATCTCAACGGGTGGAGTTTCCTGGGTCAAAATTAGAGGCATAGTTCTCCTCTGAAGCTCCTGCTGGCCAGGCTGAGAAACTGACTGAGGGACTTCAGCCCTGCCATTCAGAATGGAGATGGCAGCAGAGGTGGGAGCCAGCTACAGCTTTAAGATAGATTTGGGTGGGTAGATGGAGGCAGATAATCTAGATCACTCTGAGGGGGAAATGTAGCTCCTCACCGGTAACTTTTTACGCTCATAAACCCTAAAGCAGGGCTAAAAGTGACAAAAAAAAAAAAAAAAATCCAATGAGATGTCTCTGATTCAGGGATTGAGACTAGCTGAAGGGATAGGAATGAAGAACCAGAATCTTAACTCTCTAGGGCCTGGTGTCAGCACTGTCCCCACAGTGTCCACTCCCTAAGTTATTCCTCTAGTCACCAGGCCAAAACCCCATGGCAGCATCTGGGCCTTCAAGGGATGCCTTAAGGAGACGTGGACAGTTTAAGCCGCTACCCAGATCAGATTAGCGAGTTTAAATAACAAGCCATTTGTTCAGATCTTGTTTAAAACCATTCTTCTTACAAAATACGCACAATTCTTATTTTCATTTTAACTATTTACAAACAGAAAAGGTCTATCTTTTAAAGGAAAGACATTTTCTGAGTCTATAAAGTGCAGCTAATTTAAGGCAAATATATGTGAAATATAAAATGTGGCTTATTCTCTCCATATATACATTTTCCAGTTTTAAAAGATAAGGTCTCCTCCCCTCAAAAAAAGGAAAGAGGAAAGAAAAGAGGACTTCATTTTTTTCTGGCAACTTTAAAAGGTAAGATCTTACTGGTTTCAGGAAATCATAGGTTTCTGAACATCATTTTATAAGTAAAATGATCTTTCTTTTTTTAAAAAAATAACTTTTATATAGCTTCTTCAAACAAGTTAAAAGGCGGCAATGGGTCTGCTACAGTAGTTTGGAGGACTGGAGGATTGATGGGATAAGTAAAAGGGTTGTTTTTGTTAGGTGAGTAGATATTAGGTAGTCCAGCGTATATATCCATTTCCAAAATATGCCTGATGAGGCTAGACACCTAAAGCTGCTCTTAGCTCCAGGAATGAGTATCTTCCATCTCCATCAGAATCAAATACTCTCAAGCTCTTTGGTTCTGGCATAGCAGAACCTAGGGTGTTCCAGATTTCCTGGTAGGTCAGCTTCCCATCCATGTCCTGGCCAGTCTTTTGGAATAAATCCTGAAGAGCTGCCAAAAAGGAATTACAAAAAATGTGTAAGTCTATACATACAGCTATATTTAGTTAACAGTTAAAAAGTAGCCTTAACCAAGTTTAAAGCACTACAAGAAAAGCTGCTACACAGGTTTTGTTTCCAAAGGTAAGGTTTAAGATTTCACTAAATCAGGAAGACTAATTCTTGATCCTTTAAGAATGAGAGGAATACTGTACGGCACTACCTCCCAAAAATATAAGCAGTGACAGACAATTTCAGAAGAAATGAAAGGACTGGCTTTCTGTCAGGGACTTCTCTTCAGATTTTCCAGATTTTTTTCTTATGTAGCAGAAGGAGAAAAGAATTGCAGAGGCCTAAAGAGCTGCTGCGGAGCCCTGGTGGTACCAGTGGTTAAGCGTTCGGCTGCTAACCAAAAAGTCAGCAGCTCAAATCCACCAGCTGCTCCTTGGAAACCCTATGGGGCAGTTCTACTCCATCCTACAGTGTCGCTATGAGTTGGAATCGACTCAATGGCAAGGGGTAAAGAGCTACTTAGGAGTCCCTGGGTGGTGCACATGGTTAAGAGCTGAACTACTAATCAAAAGGGTGGTGGATCAAACCTACCCAGAGGCTCCTAGGAAGTAAGGACTGGTGATCTGCTGCTTCTGGAAGGTCACAGCCTTGAAAACCCTATGAAATGCAGTGCTACTCTGCACACATGGGGTTGCCCTGAGTTGGAGTCCACTCAACAGCAACTAACTGAACTGACGGAAAGAGCTACTTGATAGGAGCTGAGCATGTAAAATGGACTGTGGCATACTGTCAGATTTCTTGTTGGATGGCTGAGTGAGGACTGGAGGAGTGTCTTGAAGTCCTTAGGCAGTAATAATCCCAAACATTCATACAGTTTTCTCAGTTTCGATAAGAAAACCAAACAGGAAAGTAATTTGCCCAAGGTCACATACTTGTAAGCGATTAAATATGGACCAGAATACAGGTTTTCTTATTACCTAGTTTGGTGCTCTTTTTACTATATGACATTGTCTCCCTGGATCCAGAAATCAAGTAGCTCAAGAACCAGGGACTCAAGGCTACAATGAGATACCACTTTATATGCACTAGGATGAATATAATAAAAAAGATGGAAAATAACAAGTGTTGGCTAGGATGTGGAGAAATTAGAACCCTCATACATTGCTAGTGGGAATGTAAAATGGTACAGCCACTTTGGAAAAGTTTGGCAGTTCCTCAAAAAGTTAGACATAGGGTTACCATAAGACCCAACAATCCCACCCCTGGGTATATATCCAAGAGAACTGAAAACATGTGTCCACACCAAAACTTGCACGTGAAAGTTCACAGCAATATTATTCCTAATAGGGAAAAAGTGGAAACAACTCAAATGTCCATCAACATGAATGGATAAACAAACTGTGGATATTCATACATTGAAATATTATTCAGCCATAAAAAGGAATGAAGTACTGACACGTGCCACAACATGGACCTTGAAAACATTATGCTAAGTGAGGAGCCAGACAGAGACGGCCATGTATTGTATGATACCACCCAGAACAGGCAAATCCATAGAGACAGACAGTAGACTAGTGGGTGCCAGGCGCTGGTAGCAGGGGGAAAACTACTTAATGGAATAAATGCTTAATGGGTATAGAGTTTCTTTTGGGAGAAATAAAAATGTTCTGGAATTAGATAGTGGTGATGGTTGCATAATTCTGTGAACATATTAAAACCACTGAATTATACACTTTAAAAGGGTGAATGTTATTATATGTGAATTATATCTCAATTAAAAAAAACAAAAACAGAAACAAACCAGAGGACTAAGTATCTTTTCAAGTAGTATCTCTTTCTGGCGGT